TAAAGAAAGTGCACCATCAGGTATGAAAGAAGCTAAAGAAATAATTACTATTTTGGTAGGCAGCAATGCAGCTAGAACTTACAAATGTAAATTAACTGTAGCGGGTAAAAGCACGAATTTCAGAACTCTGAAAAGAGTAAAATCCTTACCTGTGATTCACAGAAATAATAAAAGTTCCTAGTCATTGAAACAACTTATGACTGAATGATTCATGAATCATTTTGTTAAAGATGTTAGAAGACATCGTAACGGTGTCGGTTACTATTAAATTGCAAGATTTTACTATTCTTAAACAACTCCTCTGCACATCCAGATGCAACCATTTCGAATGTGATGATGTCAGGGCCCTTTTTTGTCCCCAAATACATCATCATTGATCCAACCAATGGATCAGGGTATAATACACAGTATTAAATGCCACTACAAATCAAAGTTTCCAAAAAAAAAATTCTTTCAAGAGATCATCCTGTTTCACTGTGGGATTATGGGGGGGGGAAAAAATTCACCATCAAAGAGTGCATCTGCTAGCAGAATCGTGGAATTCTGTTTCCCAAACAAAATTATTAATTGATTAGCATAATGTATGGCCATCTGTTTATTGAAACTGAGAGCAATGACAGTGAATCTTATAGTTGTAGAGATAGTGCAGTAAAAGTTAAGACAAGAGAATTGCTTGTGTTATTTGAAAGAAAGAACAAATGAGGAGGCTTTAGAAGAAGATATCATTAAATGGATGATGTGTCCAAATGTGTCATCGCTGGCATATCAGATGACTGATGATAAAATTGTTGGCTATGTTTTGAACTCAATACAGGAAACAAGAATAAAGCAGGAAAATGATTTCTATATTGACAGAGATAGTGAATTTGATAAGAGTGAAAAATATCTTTTAGTAAAGGTTTGGAAATGGTGAAAATTACCTAAAATATTTAGGACAACAGAACTTTATCACCGAGCAAGGGATTATGACTATAACATTTTAAAAAAATTTTACTCTGGAGCATCCTAAAGTTTTTAAGACAAACCTCTTTCAGAAAAATGTCATGTAAAAAATGAAATATTTTATGCATCATTAATGCCCCTTATTTTCATATGTCTTTATCGTATATGTCGTTATTTATTTTGTTCTTGTAGTCTAAACATTATGTAATTTATCTTTTTTGTCCTGGAATCCTGAAATCTGCACAACCTCTGGTTGCAGATTTGTGGTCTTCTACTGTATAACCTCCATATCTGTAGCTTAAGAGCATTCTTCTTATTTATATAAAAAACTGTTTTGTACTTCTTGCTTTCATAATTCTTTTCAAATTTTTGATAATATAAATGGAGCATCATCATGTAAGTATTTAAATGCAGAGGAAATAAGAAAACGTGTATTTCAAACTATCTTTATGGAATCTTTTTTAAAATTTCTTATAAACATATTTATGCTATAAATTAATACTGTTAATCAAATTTAATGGTAATATATTTTTTTATTAAATACAAAAAATAATTTTTAAAACTTTTATTATTTTGTATAGAAATCAGTCTATTATTTTCCCCAGTTTATGTCTCTGGTAATTTACCAGTTGGAGGATTAAAAAAAAATCTCGTGGACCCCATGACTTCCTTGTGCGACCTGTTAAATTATAAACAGTTTTTGCTGCACTTCATTTAAACTTATATGCTCGAATTTCATTAGCGATATACTTCTTATTCAGTAAATTCAGTTCTCATATCAAGACAAGGCAAAAATACATAAAAACCCCAAATACAGTTTAAAAAAAAAAAATATGATTTAAGTTTCTGTGCTAAAACAAGCAATTCAGCCAATGTGCAAGAAGACCAAATTTTCAATACACGAAATTGAAATTTAGCTTTTGGTTCCACTGTTCAAAAAGACATTGAAGTTGGTGCACCAACTGGCTTAATTCACTATTCTCCTAAGAGTTTCAAATGTTACTTAATGGCCGCTTTGTTAGGCCTAGCGGCATTTTTAAATTATTGATACTTCTATAACTATTGCATGCAGGTTAACTTAAGGCATAAAATTCGTATGTGGAAAAGAACAATAAAACCAAAAATGCACAATTTATCAACATATAAGAATAAAAATACTGAGCTCACTGAGCTGGGTAACAAATTGGGAATGTACTCACACACATTTGGTGTGGCTGATTGTAAAGACAAAGGAAAAATCATAAGCTATGTGTTATAGGAGTCTCTTATGTAAAATTTGAACATTCTGCAGCGACTCTTTTTTTTTTTTTTTTAGTTATATAAAATACATATGTGCAGACGTCATGGAAAATTCTCTTCTGAATCATTTTACAATCTATTTTGGAAAAAAGGTCAAAATGGGTATTTTTATTGATTATAAGGAGTTTTTTTTAGTTATATAAAATACATATGTGCAGACGTCATGGAAAATTCTCTTCTGAATCCATTTTACAATCTATTTTGGAAAAAAGGTCAAAATGGGTATTTTCATTGAAATATTATACCAAAATTTTTCATCATTACAATACTTCCTTTACATCCCACAAGGAAGTAAAAAGTTGGATTTACCATCATGTTTTATTATTAAAGTATTAGTTATTAATGCTGGATCTCTAAAAGATGTGGAACATTATAGGTTATTCACTGCTACTGATTTCTGCCTTTTGTTATGTAATTGTGGATGTGAGGAAAATTGCTGTGGAAGTGGCAAACTCGTAGGTATTGTATGTGACTAAACAAAGCTTATGATTGTGCTGATGTCCCAATTGATGCATCAGATTGACTTAAACGATTGTGGGACATCACATGCACACGTCAAGGAATTGCATTTGCGGTTGGAATGCCATGCTATTTAGCAAGCATTTGTTAGACTAGTGTTGGCTTAGCCCACTGCTTGCCGAAAATCTTTTTTCTCAGCAATAGGTATGTCAACTTTGACTGTTTTGAAGTAGAGGAGCATGTTAGTTTGGGACTGTTTAAAAAAAAGGGGGAGGTTTAGTACATATGCACATAGAAACTTCTTTGAGTTTGAAAGTTTAATGATTAACAAGTTTGTGACCAATTCCAACAAAGGCTTGGGAGGAGAAAGGGTTAAGAATTTGATTGTGGTAATGTTACATGTTGATTTATGATCAGTAGGTTTCTTAGCCAGTGGAAGAGAGAGCTATTTGGAACAATGTTGCTGTCTGATTTGAATTTGATCGATAATTATTATGATTCTTGTGCGTTGTGCATTTCGTGCAAAATGGTCTCTTGTATTTTTCTATAAATATTTTAAATATTAAATCTCTGCACAGAAAAGCTTATAAGCTGTAAAAGAGGTAGCTGAATGTATAACTACTTTTATTATGAGTATGGAGATGAAGGAAAGAATCTGCATTAGAAAGATAAGTAAAAATGGACTTAATTGCATCTAAATATCTAGAATGTGAGAATAACTTGATTTTGTGTATAAGAAAAGGACAAACTGATGGGTTTGAATGGTGTGAAAAGTGAAAGAGCATGATATTTGTAGGAATGTGAGAAATCTGGTTTAACAAGTCATTTGAGTATTTGTTATATGTAAGGATTATAAGGAGTTTGTTTGGAATGTGTATGAATGAATGTGTCATTCCTGTCAGCCATTGTCAAGACTGATGGAGACATACATCAGAAAATTGAGATAAAAAGTGTTTATTTCCTTTAACATACCACCATTTAGTTCCTGTTTCCACAGAATGCTTCCTAGAGTTATAACTGTTCTGAAAACAAAGCACAGAAAGGCACCAAATTTGTAATTTTCAATGTCATGTGAAGTGGTGGGTAAAAAATATTTCACCTGTTGCAGGGAGAAGTAACTATACGGATGTGTTTATCAAGTTTATTTTTATTAAAAACTGTTGTGATAAATATACATACCATGTCACTTTCAAAGAGGCAAAAAAATTCTACAAAAATGTAGCTTTAATAAAGAGTATCTTCATTTACTTCTTTCAAAATCATGCCTTTCGTTTTGTGTGCTTTTGCGATTTCTCAATGGCTCTTGGCAGTTTTGATGATGGCAGTAGGCAATGGTAATCTAATATACACAAAAACATAATGAAAATAAAATTTACTTTTAAAGCAATATCATCATTTGTGATGGAGCACATTATTCCAACTGCATATCCTGGTGGTACAAATTGTTTGTTTCAATCAGTATTTTTTAATTGTATGATAGCCCAAAAAATTGCTTACAGAAGGTTTAAAGCAACTGCTCTGGTTGCGCATGGTGGAATCAGTGAGAAGGAAAATTGAGCAAGTGTTATAAAATGCATAATTTGCCTCACCTACTGATTTTTAATTGAGATTATACTAAGAGAGTAAATATGTTGTTTCATACTATGATAGTAGTCAAAAAGTAAGATACATAGTTTTACTAGATACCATATTCTTTTTGTCTATTTATTAAAATTCTAAAGATGGTTTGTGTATTATTGTTTCGATGTTTCCTTGACTTTTTTAAGCAAGGAAAATATGATAAAATGATTGAAATAATGTTATAAATAAATAATAAGAATAAAAAAGGATAAATATATTGGTAATATGAAAATTTACTACACTGTTTTTGCTAATAACTAGCATGCAGTTTTATTCAGGTTTAATTAATAATCAGACTAATATATGTGATAATTTCAAAATACCCTCTCCCTCAAAAATTACATATGTGTGCATTCTGAGAGAAAATTTGATTTATTTTCATGCTAAATATAATGATTTTATATGGGTGTGAATACCAAATGATACTTGCTGCCCTCTGTAGAAAAGGAGGAAGTGAAACTTCGTAAAGATGGTAGGTTGTGATAAGAATCAGTGGCAAATAATTCTTGATGAATACAGAAAGCTTCAAGCAGATCTAATGCATCCGCCTTTTTTTAAATATTATGTAAATTTTCAAAGGCCTAATGCTCAATTGTGCCTTGATTTTTTTTAATTATTATACTTATTATCTCTTAGTAAGACAGCAATTAATTTCTAAAATTTTTTATTATATTTTTTAGAAACCTCCAGATGTTGATTTTAAAATAATGGTAACATTTGCACAGTTCTACAGCACGATGTTGGGCTTTATCAACTACAAATTATACAATTCCATAAACATGATATATCCTCCCAAGGTATTTTTTTGTATTTTTATACTTTTTTATACCAGTAATATTGTTCTATTTGCTAACTGAATTGTTTTGACTAATCATTTTTATAATTTTTTATTCTTCCTGCAGTACTGTTATGTTATTTGTTATGAAAACTGTGTATTGTGTATATATTTATATGTTAGCATTTATGTAAAATTTCAATTGGCAGTGGTGTAGATGAAGAGGACAGTGGAAATGGGTGCTTGTTGCCGGATATTTTTCAATATAATAAGCAATCATAGAACTTTAGAGTACTGCACATTCTGAGAGCATGTATTTGCTATTCAGGTTTTAATACTGGCATCGTTTTTAATTACTGATAGAAAAAGAAGTTGCAAATTACGTGTTCATGAAGCAAAGATTGTGTTGTGTTAGATTTAAAATGAAAAAGTTACTTTAATTAGGCTGACAGAGTATCACTTATTTAGGTTTTATTATTGGATAAAAGACTGCATAGTACTTGTCTTCTGTAATGGCCTTGGTGTGTTTCTGCATTGGTGTAAAACAAATGGTTACTGATCTACACATGTGTGCAAAACAAACAGTTTATGATGTAACTGGTTTTCATAATTGTGCTGTGGCAGTCTAGCAGTTTTTCATTGTAAAATATTCGTTATGCTTACTATTCTCAGTTTTCCATCAACAGGGTAGAAAAAGGTGTAATTGATGTTTTAGGCATTAGCAGCAATTGCTGAAGTCTGACAACTAGAAAGAGTCTGTAAAAAGTGAATTTTCTCGGATATTTATGTATTTTCTTTAATAAATAGAATTTCCAATACTAACATTAAAAACACAACCACCTTGGTGCAACTTGATGATTTTTTTTTTTTTTTTCTGGAAAAAGTTAAAGTTATCGGTTTTTGCTTTAAAAAAAAATCGGAGAATTGCAGAAATTCATGGTTATACAAATTTTAGCAGTATTGTCTGCTAAATGCAGCTTGTCTTTGTCCGTTTAAAAATTTTTAAACAAAATTCTCTGTTCCAGCAGAAATTTTACTGCAATTTCTTCCAGTGCTGACAAATTCCATAAGCACATATTCTAAAATCAATTATACTTTAAAACTAAGTCAAAAAATATAATAATTTGATTATAAAATTATTAGAAAATGGAATACAACAAAAAGACCACATATAAAAATGGGGCTGTTGCTTGACTGAAGGATTGTTATAGCAAGGTTGCCTAGAGTTTGGTACATTCTGAAAATTTGGCAACTTCTACTAAGATGGTTGCGATAGCTCATTAGTATTGAATTTTCTGGCAGGTGTACATTATTTAAAATGAATTGCGTACATAATTGGGCAAAATACGATAATTAATGTGCATATTAAATAATTTCTGTTGAATTATGTTAATATTTTAAATAATTTGCTGATAAAATTGTATTAAATACTGTAATAAGTGCAAGTTTGATATTCGTTCATGAACGAAATTTGCAACAATCCTTCATATTTTCTCTAAAAGAGTTTCAGCTAAGCCTACTGCAAATACGAGATTTCCTAGTTTTGGAAATAGTTGTTTACTGAAGCATTCGAGGGCCAGCATTTTGCTCCAAATCAAAAGTGATAGAAAAAATTTGCCATTTGGATCATTAGTTTATGAGATCGGCTTCGAGTATGTGAACAGGAATTACATGAATATGAGTGCATTAGTTCTAAATGCTACTGTTTTCTGATTTATATCACTAATTTTATTTGCCATAGAATCTAACATCAGTACATCTTCATCACTAACTAATAATATATTTGAGTCGGGTAGTTTCTCAAGCCATAATATTTTGATTAAATTTTCAGACACTTCTGCAGTAGCAACTGATTTTAATTTATGCAAAAGTTGGCTCGTTTTTATGCTGCCAAGCTCAGTACCAAAAATATCAAATGCTTAGAATTCCACTAATATTCTAGTTTTAGCATCTGAATATTTCGTGGCACTGTCATTTGTAATAATGTCTCAAATATTTCTGATGGACTTGGGTTCATGTTCTGAAACTAAATAAATTAAATCTCATTTCTTCTGAAACAATATTACTGATTTTGAACTGGGCTTCAACTCGCAAAAACCGTATTTTTGGCTTTACAGTCCAAAAAGAGGGTATTTTTATACTCATCTATGAAGCTTTGGCGACTGCATCAATTCTTTTACAGTAGTTTCAGAATACTCATTTTTTGTCATTTCAGAAGTAAAAGTGGGTCACCAGTATATAGCCTGTAACATACATATACATTAAATAACCTCAATTATATAAATATTGGATGAATAGCTTGCTGATTCATCGTTTACCATAATTAGTTTTGTTTTCGTGGATGTTTACAACATTTGGGAACAATCAAACTTTCTTTAACCAGAATTCTGCCAATACCACGACAGAGCTACTTCAGAAGACAAGTGCCAATTTCACTTTTGCCATTATTTAGGTATGTGCACTGTTATAAATTGAAGTTAAAATTTTCTATCCTGCACACGTACATATATATCAGCAATTTCTGTTGTAAGTGCATTTTTAAATCTTTCCCGCCTCCGACCCTTCTGCTATTTTTTCAATTTCCCAGATTTCTTCATTTGCTTCTTATTCTAATGTTTATTTAACAGTTGACATATATCCTTACTAATATAAATGTGAATGTGAGTTTATTTGTGTGTTTGTTTGTTACACATTCATGCCTTAATTACTTAACCGATCATCGTGAAATTTTCAAGAAATATTTTGGATATATTAGAAAGGGTTATAGGCAATAAAATGTCTTTGTTCGACTGTTATTAGACAAGCTATTAATTAAAAACTAATTTTCCCTACATTTTTCACTTTGTTTGGGTTTTCCCTATTAAAGGTATTTGGCTATGCGCCAATTAATTTTTTCACAAATATCTATGGAACAGCGGTTAGTTGAATTTCGAGATATATATCCCCCGATTCCAAAAATTCATCGCAATCCATCAATATCATTTTCATCTTCGTATGACTAATCAGCTGAGATATTAATTAAAATCTCTGAAAACGCTAATTTGAATGAGACCCAATAGTGACATTAGGGATTTTTTTTCCTTAGGTCTTCCTGTGTGGGTCGAATAAATTGGTGATAAAAATTATAATTTTTAATCTAATTATCAAAATTTCTCGAAATTTAGAAACTTGTGTCACACTCTGAATGATCAGAACAATGGTGGTAGAACTGTTTTTGTCACTTAATTATTTCCAGCTTAATCTTAGATGAAACAATACTCCGCTTGGTATTGTTAATTCTTTGTTGACAGGTTGTGATTCGAAAGCGACAGAGGAGAGGTAGCTAGTATCCGGTGGACCGTTGGGTTCGCGAAAAGGTCGAAGTTCAGGGATTCACACAGGGATAATCATTTAAAAATTAATAACTTGACTTCTAATTAATGTACCGGCTTGAAACTAAATCAACATTTCGACTTTAGTGATATATTGAATGTTTTGTTTCGTATTTTTTAAAGATCTATTCATTCATGTTATATATTTCTGTTGTTGTTGCTTGAAAAATTGCATTTATATTTTTTACATTTTACTGTGTGCGATAACAACTATTGTTTTATCATTTTAAGGTGCTCGAATGTTCTTTATTTTTAAAAACAACCCTTTGGTCAGGTGAAAATACAAAATATCCGCTGCCTATAGGTATTGAAGAATGGCAGTATTTACTGAAATTTTACACGGAGTGTACTTTTTAAATTCACGTGGAGTTGAAACTTATTTAAGGACATCAACGCGAGCGAAGCCGCGTGTGAAGCTAGTATATATATGTGTGTAAGAAAAATAAGGATTAAAAGATTAAATTAGCAGCGTAAATTAATTTCCCTTCTATATTCTAAAAACAGTAACCTCTATTTGCACTGCATCATTTTGAGACTAATCTATGTCATATGACTCTTACATAATTCTGATGATGTAAATGGAACTAAAACTCAAACAACCAATAGTAATTAAGACACAATAACACGCCAAATAAATTTTAATTCAGAAGTCAAACAACAAAAATCAGCGTTATATTTACAAAATTTTTCACAGGACTAGTTTCGATGGTTTTACCGAACCACCATCCTCAGCTGCAAAACCGCAAATGAACAAGATAGGAAATAATGATTAGATAAGATAAGAAAGCCTGGACAAGAATAAGCAAGTGGCACCATCTCTTGGTGAAACCAGAACTAAAACATAATTTCCTTAAAGGCGGAAGGCAAATTTGGATTGGAATTAAGATCATTAACTAGAACAGAAAGATTTTTATGAATGTGAAATGCCTCTAGAAAATCCAGTTCTCCAATGGAAGATGTTTTTTGAATAATTTTGGCAGCAGAAAAATTGAAAGTGTGATTTTCGGACCCACAATGTTGAGCAACAGAAGACGTCTGTGTTTCCTTTTTTCTAACATATGCCTCATGTTCTTTGACGCGAAATTTTATGGCTCTCTTAGTTTCGCCAATGTAAATTAAACCACTCTGGCAAGGAATCCTATAAATAACCCAGGAATTCATATCCGGAATGGGGTCCTTGAGTATGGAACTCGGAATTTTATCGATGGGAGAATAAACAACCCGAAAGTTAAATTTCTGCAAAATATGTGCAACTTTATAGCTAAATGATGGAAAGAAGGGAATGACAACAGTTTTATAATCTTCTAAAACAAGAGTGTGCCTTTTAGTGTGTTGAGATGAGAATTTTTTAACTGGTTGATTAATAATGTTGGGTGAAAAGCCCCTGTCAATAGCTATTGCTTTTAAATAATTTAGTTCTTCATCAAGGGCTAGTTTGGAGGAGCAAACTTGAAGAGCACGGAAAACATAGGAATAAAATGAAGCTAACTTTTGTTTAGTCGGATGACATGATCTAAAGTGTGGTGGAAGGCAAACCGATGCCGTTTGATGAAAGGTTTACGGTAAAACCCATAGTACTGAAGTTGGATGTGTCACGTGTGACCAGAATGTCGAGAGAAACGGAAAAGAATTACAAGTCTCAAGTTCAAAA